TCACTTAAGCACTTGAATTCAGAGACTATTGAAGTGAATATCTCACTTTTAACAGCAGTAGCTTCTTCTGCCGGCGTAGAAAAAATATTTTCTTCCTCTGGACTAATTAATTCCAAATTGAGAAATCGTTTGGGACCTGAAAAAGCAGAAAAGCTTGTTTTTATTTTCCAGATAACGAACAAATAGGAAAATAAAGGTGAAGACAACTGAGTTAGCGGCAGAAGCCAATATTTTAAATTTCTCATGTTGACCTGGCTGACATAATCGATTTTAATTTTTGTTTTTGTTTATTCAATAAAACAATTTTAACAAAAACAAAACTGATTTAAAAAAACTTGAATGTTTAACTAAATTCAAAATACATTTGCTTGTTTTGTTAATATTATGTTTCCTGTTGAAGAAAAAAATCCAGAATACATAACATTGTTGTTTTAGTTAAATAAAAAAATTTTAAATGTCTGTCTGGTGATGTTCTCCTCCTAGTACAGCAGGGCAAGAAAATCCTCCAAATATTAATGATTAACCTGTTGAATTGGAGATAGTTCACCTCCCAATGACTTCATAAATATCAGCTTCAATTACCTTTGGTAAATGAAATAACCAAACAATCATTCCTTTTCTGATATAGCTGTAAAACGAATCTGAAAAGTTTTCAAAATAAATCACTTAAAAAATGTATAGTGTGTACGTTCAAAAAATGAAACCTACATTTATCTCTGAGTTGTGAAGAATATGTATTCAGGTTATAACAAACAACAAGAATGGGGGAATTCTACGGCCAAAACATTAAAAAATCTGCGCCATAAATTAAAAATTCTGTATACAATAGTTTAAAATTTGGCAAAAGTCTGCATATTTTATGTCAAAATAACACCATATAATCATGCCAGTTTCAATTATTTTGGTTTTTATTTAAAAAAAAAACCTGTCAGCAAGTATGTAATTTGAGTAATAATTTATTTAAACTACAATACAGAAATGTATTTCCTGCACCCTTCAGAAGCAGTGTAAAGACTTGGAAGTCATAAGAATGGCCATACCGGGTCAGACCAAAGGTCCATCTAGCTCAGTATCCTGTCTACCGACAGTGGCCAATGCCAGGTGCCCCAGAGGGAGTGGACCGAACAGGCAATGATCAAGTGATCTCTCTCCTGCCATCCATCACCATTCTCTGACAAACAGAGGCTAAGGACACCATTCCTTACCCATCCTGGCTAATAGCCATTAATGGACTTAACCGCCATGAATTTATCCAGTTCTCTTTTAAACGCTGTTATAGTCCTAGCCTTCACAACTTCCTCAGGTAAGGCGTTCCACAAGTTGACTGTGCGCTGCGTGAAGAAGAACTTCCTTGTATTTGTTTTAAACCTGCTGCCTATTAATTTCATTTGGTGACCCCTAGTTCTTGTATTATGGGAATAAGTAAGTAACTTTTCCTTATCCACTTTCTCCACATCACTCATGATTTTATATACCTCTATCATATCCCCCCTTAGTCTCCTCTTTTCCAAGCTGGAAGAGTCCTAGCCTCTTTAATCTCTCCTCATATGGGACCCGTTCCAAACCCCTAATCATTTTAGTTGCCCTTTTCTGAACCTTTTCTAGTGCCAGTATATCTTTTTTGAGATGAGACCACATCTGTACGCAGTATTAGAGATGTGGGCGTACCATCGATTTATATAAGGGCAATAATATATTCTCAGTCTTATTCTCTATCCCCTTTTTAATGATCCCTAACATCCTGTTTGCTTTTTTTGACTGCCTCTGCACACTGCGTGGACATTTTCAGAGAACTATCCACGATGACTCCAAGATCTTTTTCCTGACTTGTAGCTAAATTAGCCCCCATCATATTGTGTGTGTATATATAGTTGGGGTTATTTTTTCCAATGTGCATTACTTTACATTTATCCACATTAAATTTCATTTGCCATTTTGTTGACCAATCACTTAGTTTTGTGAGATCTTTTTGAAGTTTGTCACAGTCTGCTTTGGTCTTAACTATCTTGAACAGTTTAGTAGCATCTGCAAACTTTGCCACCTCACTGTTTACCCCTTTCTCCAGATCATTTATGAATAAGTTGAATAGGATTGGTCCGAGGACTGACCCTTGGGGCACACCACTAGTTACCCCTCTCCATTCTGAGAATTTACCATTAATTCCTACCCTTTGTTCCCGGTCTTTTAACCAGTTCTCAATCCATGAAAGGACCTTCCCTTTTATCCCATGACAGCTTAATTTACATAAGAGCCTTTGGTGAGGGACCGTGTCAAAGACTTTCTGGAAATCTAACTACACTATGTCCACTAGATCCCCCTTGTCCACATGTTTGTTGACCCTTTCAAAGAACTCTAATAGATTAGTAAGACACGATTTCTCTTTACAGAAACCATGTTGACTATTGCTCAACAGTTTGTTTTTCTGTCTGACAATTTTATTCTTAACTATTGTTTCGACTAATTTGCCCGGTACCGACGTTAGACTTACCGGTCTGTAATTGCCGGGATCACCTCTAGAGCCCTTTTTAAAATATTGGCGTTACATTAGCTAACTTCCAGTCATTGGGTACGGAAGCCAATTTAAAGGACAGGTTACAAACCTTAGTTAATAGTTTCGCAACTTCACATTTGAGTTCTTTCAGAACTCTTGGGTGAATGCCATCTGGTCCCAGTGATTTGTTAATGTTAAGTTTATCAATTAATTCCAAAACCTCCTCTAGTGGCACTTCAATCTGTGACAGTTCCTCAGATTTGTCACCTACGAAAGCTGGCTCAGGTTTGGGAATCTCCCTAACATCCTCGGCCGTGAAGACTGAAGCAAAGAATCCATTTAGTTTCTCCGCAATTACTTTATCGTCTTTAAGCGCTCGTTTTATATCTCGATCATCAAGGGGCCCCACTGGTTGTTTAGCAGGCTTCCTGCTTCTGATGTACTTAAAAAACATTTTATTACCACCTTTGGAGTTTTTGGCTAGCCGTTCTTCAAACTCCTCTTTGGCTTTTCTTATTACATTTTTGCACTTAATTTGGCAGCGTTTATGCTCCTTTCTATTTGCCTCACTAGGATTTTACTTCCACTTTTTAAAGGAAGTCTTTTTATCTCTCACTGCTTCTTTTACATGGCTGTTAAGCCATGGTGGCTCTTTTTTATTTCTTTTACTGTGTTTCTTAATTTGGGGTATATATTGAAGGGTAATGGAGGAGTTGAGAGAGAGGAAAGTAATTGCTGGGAGGGAGCCTGGGTGTGAGCCTGGGTGTGAACTTGGATGGTAGTTGGGTATGGGTGGGAGAAGTATGGAACAGTTTTTGAGGGGTGGGGCGGAAGGGTTGTTAGGGAGTCTCCCCTGTGCAGACCCTCGCTGATCCCTAGCCTCTTTAATTCAATTAGGCACATCTGTCCCTGTCCCCATGTGTCCCTGAACTCCCACTCAGCCAGCCACCTCTCCCACCGTGAGCCTGCACCTTTCTGTCCCCCCACTAGCCCTTCTGAACCCCAGTCTGTAATTCTTCAGCAGTTCCATATGTTCCACCCTGTCCATCCTCCCATATCCCATGCCTTCTGACCTAGCCCCACAGGCAGGGCGCTTTGAGGACCAGAGCCTTTTCTCTTCCCTACCTGCAGCTGGGGCTGCTCCCACCCAGGAGCATCTGCTCTCTGTTCTGGCACCACAGCAGTCCCTGGTGGGCAAAAGGCGTAACTGCAGCACTTCTTGGCAGAATGTATTTTGTGCTGAGAAAAGAAAATTCTGCACTGCACATGATTTCTGTGCCTGCGCAGTAGCACAGAATTCCCTCAGGAGCAGAGCGATGCTTCTTTTTGTTTTGTTTTGTGCCTCAGGAGTACTCTGCCACAAAGTAGTCTTCTGGTTTTGGTGTGTCTTGGCTTCTGTCATCAGCAGGAAACAGCTGAAAGAAAGTAGCCCCTGGTTTTAGGTAACTCGTTTTTAATTTCCAGTGACTGAAGGTGAAGACTCCTCCACCTACAGACTCTGCAAAAATATGGCCCGACCTTTATGATTATATGCATGAGTCTGTTTTCCCATTGCCCATCCTTCCTTTTGTTAGCCAAAAAATAAGTCCATTGGTTATGTCTTTCTCCAGGCATAGTGGCTTCAAAATCAGCTAAGCCTTCCAAGAGAACTTCTCGAGGGTCAGGAAGTTCTGCCATTTTCTCAAAATTTCCTTTTGAGCTAGAAGAGGGCTCAGCCATGTCAGACGACAAAGTACAAACAGCCTATGCAAGACTTACTTCAGGATAGTGTCTTAAATTCCTTTTGTTCGTTGTGTGTGGAATTCGGTGCAGCTTTGTCTTTAGATGTCGTCTGTATTGGTTACTCTAATAGTTACTAAGGGCCTGACTCTTCCTTCAAAGGATTGCTCCTTTGGTGACAACTCTTGTGAGGGTGGGTCCTTCTGTGGTTTTTAATTTTCTTTCTGAGGCCTTGATCCTAGTGTGGTGGTGGTGCTTAAGACACAAACCGCCATGGTTCAAGCAGAAAAAGAATCTTCCTATGCCACTGGTTCAGTGCCCCCAGGGGGATGTGACTAATGCTCAAGTGGGAAGAAAAATGTAATCCTTTTTGAAGGGAAGATTGGATTCCATGATAGGTAAGTTCTTCTAGTGGGATGATCTTTCTGTCCCCGTTAAGCGGGCTCTTAGTCTAAAGATACCTTGCTGTAGGTAAAGAAGAATGGAAGTCCCATTTTAGAAAGCCATCAAAGTCTCGAAGGCATTCCCAGTCCATTGATGCCATTCAGGATGTGCTGTATGTGCAGATTGAATTGCCCTACTGTAACTCTAACAATGTTCTTGTGGAGCTATAATATACCCCATATGATCATGGAATAACATAAAACTACCCAAAGATTACAGGACTCTATATCCTGTTAGTAATGTTTAAATCCTGACTCTTTAGGTTGATCTTTTAAGGTGCTTTGGTGCTTTCCTGTTTTGCATCTTTTTCTTGCCTCTTAATATTGCAACTTTTACTTGTGCTCTGCACTCCCACACAAACTGCTGAGTAGCTGTTCAGACTGATAGTCTCTCTCTAACACACACTATTGGATGTCTTTTTAGGCTGGTATCTTTCACCTAACTTGATTTTAATTTGTTGTTGTTCTGTTTTAAGCTGATTAAGTTTGTTCTGCGTGGATGTGAAGATGAGCTCATTTAGTTGAACTGGCAAACTTGTTAAAATATTTTTAATGGCAGTTACTTTGCTCCATTCTGCTGGAAAAACTAGTAAATATTGCTCTTTAAATACAACTACTGTTATTTTCTGTTGCTTTTTACATTGAGTAGGTATTCCTATATTGTTTAATGTCATCTGTGTATGTAAAGGTTTAGAGGTAAATTGTAAGGCGAAATTGCATTCCTGATTAGTGAAAGACTGCAACAAATGCTATATTTCAGTTCTGTATAACAAAGTGTGAATTTTAATGGATGAAGAAAGTAGCTCCAGAGTCCCTATTTGCATCAGTGTCTCTGTGGAAAGGGAGAAGGAAGTCAATAGGAGGGTAAAATTTTTATTGTGGTTTCACCACAATGGCTGTTAATCCAGCCTTTCCATAAACTCATTTTTGGAGCAATATATGTCTAACCTATTCCAAAAATAGCTGTTTGTGAGACACAAAATGCTTTAGCAGTTCACTAATATCAATCATTCCAATTTTAAAGCTGAGTGCTGAAACTTGAAATGACCTTTACACTATCCAACAAAAAGTGTCAAGGATTAAATGAGTTTCTTGTTACTGCTTATGCTTTTTGTATAATTGCCAAATCATACCAACCTTCTGGCAATTTACTAGCTTTTTGCATTGCTATTTACTTAGAAAACAGTGTACTACTAATAAATCTTTGTGCTTGGTGACGTAAAATAACTTATCCTCCTTTTTCTACAGATGCAAGTAGTAACCGAGTTAAAAACTGAACAAGACCCAAACTGCTCTGAAACTGATGCAGAAGGAGTGAGTCCTGCCCCTGTAGAATCTCAGACGCCAATGGATGCAGACAAGCAGGCCATTTACAGGTAGTATTATGGACTTTGGTTGTGTCTTTGAAGGGTAAAAAGTATAGTTTTAGGAGTTTTTTCTTTTTTCTTTTAACTAGGCAGATTAAAACCAGATGAGCTGTAGTTTGCAAGTAAACAATGAGTAAGTTCAAATGAAATGGTTTCATTTTCAGACTCTTTACTTAAGGCAAAAAATTTCCCCAAATTTAGGATTCTGTTGCATGATCTTGAAGACTATTACGAAGTGCAGATATGTCAGTTATTAAAAACAGATATTGCTATAGCTGTAATGGGCATCAAGCTTAAGTTAGCAATAGTATTTTGTTTAGGCTATTGAGGAATAGTGACTTGAACTCATACTGTCCCATTATATTTTATATGTTAGAATTAGCTTCAATAGTATCTGAGGCCTTTCCTCATTTATTTTATTTTATTTTTGTGATCAGCCAAACCTGTACCACTTTTCCTTTAGGCTTAAAAATAAATAAATAAATAAATAAATAAAAATGTGCCTTTTCTCACAACTCTATAATACAAAAATACTTATCTTAGCACTTTTCATTTGAAGATATTAATCACATGTATAAACTGCAAAGTGAGGGTGTAATTGTAGAACAGATAGGCATACCTGTGTTAGCTTTAATTTAGCTAGTGTGGGTAACAATAGCAGTGTACACATAGTGGCAAGGACTTTAGTATGTGCTATCAAACAGAGTACAAGCCCTCCATGGACCCTAGGCATGTACTGTACTTTGGTTGGTAGCCCATTCTGAAACCTGTGCTGCTATGAGTACACTGCTATTGTGACCTGTGCTAGCTAAATTAAAACTATCACATGTATGCCTACCCATGCTACAATCACATCTTCACTTTGCAGTGTAGACATACCAAAAGTGCTTTACAAAGGCACTGTTATTGCCAGTTTACACATGGGGAAATGACACATAAGGAGGGTAAGTGACTTGGCCAAGATCACAAAATGAGTTAATGGTAGAATCATCTTAGTCCTGATCTGAGCCAAGTTAGCTAATTTCACAATGAGTCTCTCAAAATACAGGCCGTTCTCAGTTGTACCAAACCATAAGGTGATTTTGTTATATTGAAATGGGGCACATATTGGAGACCAAATGGATGCTATCAGGCTTATTTTTTTGTAATTTAAATCTGGTTTCATTCTTTGTGTCAGTGCTAATCCATTACACATTTGTACTAATACATAACCTTCTAACTAACTTACAATTAATAAAATGGCATTTCAGAGCTTCATAACTGCAATTATGATATCTTCTTATCAATGTCCAATTAAATAGTCATGCTTTATTATACAGCTTTAGTTGTGTCTAAATCTTATACAGTTTTACTTTTTTTTTATAATTCACATGGATTTTTGGCTAATATTGTCAGTTGTGTGTTGTATATAATCTTTTCATAAAACTTACAGAATTGCTTTTCTGGATGAATGGTGGTTAGGTTTTTACTTTTTGGATACCTAACATTATAAAGTAGGAAATATAAAGTAAAAAAATATTTATTCAGACCTGATTTTATTATTTATTTATTCCTAGGCACCCACTGTTTCCATTGTTAGCACTATTATTTGAAAAATGTGAACAATCTACACAGGGCTCAGAAGGCACTACCTCTGCTAGTTTTGATGTAGATATTGAAAATTTTGTAAGGAAGCAGGAGAAGGAAGGAAAACCCTTTTTTTGTGAAGATCCAGAAACTGATAATTTAGTAAGTATAAAGCATTTTTATGAAGCAAATGACACTTCTCCCTCTTATTCCCAATTACTTCTCTCAACTGTTGCTCTCGGTAGATTCCCAAATCTTTTGATCCTACAATGGTGGATTGTTAATATTGCAAGTACTGAATTCTGAAACTAAAGATCAGAAAAAGTCTGTAAACTTAGTTTGTCTTTTTATCCTTTTTTTCTTATCTACAAACATCTGTTGCATCCTTCATTTTGACCACCTGCCTCACATTTTTCAATAGTTGTTTCCAATATGTGCTCCTAAAACAGCTGAGGTTGACATTATATTTAGAGATGAGTTAAGACACATACCCACTACAATCCAGTTGACTGTACAGAGTAGTTTCTCAGAAGGCAATCAGATAATTTTTGTTCACTGTTCTATAGATCTTATCTAGTCAGATTTTCCTGTGGTGTGTTTTTTGCCTGATGCATCTGCATTGTCTGAGGGAGGAAAGGTTAGAAAATTTGTCCACTAACTTTTATACATAAAAAGAAGTCTGAGGCCTGGTATGCAATAGGAATATAAGGAAATTAAAAAAAAAAAATTCAAGTAGAACAGTTTGTGTTGAATGATAAATCAGTTTGAGACAGCATTTCTAAATGATACTCAGTTTGGTATTTTGGGCCTACGTAAAAAACTGTTCAAATGGAGAGTCCTATAAGGTTGTGTCTGTTTTGTAGTAGGGTTACCATTCGTCCGGATTTACCCGGACATGTCCTCCTTTTTGTGCTAAAAATAGCGTCCGGGGGGAATTTGTAAATCACTCAAAATGTCCGGGATTTCCCCCCTCCCCGGCAGAGCAGAGCGAGCGGCTGGGAGGGCTGCAGGAAAGTCACGGGCTGGACTCCGGAGCAGCTGTAGAGGAGCTCCTCCTCCCACCCTCCCTCCCCCCCTGCATTCTGAGCCGGCAGCTCCTCCTCCCTTGCAGCCCAGTGTCCTGCTCCAGCAGCACTGTGCAGGGCCAGGGACCGGGTTGTGTGTTGTGCTGGGGAGCGCAGCCACGTGTCCGGCTCACACAGAGCCCAACACCCTGTTCTGAGCAGCAGGGTAAGGGGGCCAGGGGGCAGGAGAAGGGGCAGGGAGGTTCTGGAGGTGGCAGTCAAGAAACGGGGGGGGGGTTTGGGA